AAATTAAAGACAAACTAGTGACTGCAGGTAAATTTGGAGTGAACAAAGAAGTAATTACAAATGCACTTAAATTAAAAAAAAAAATGAGGAGGTGGAGCCTCAGGACTGTAGAAAAAGCAGTGTCCATTAAATTTTCTTGTGGTTGTTCAGGCTATGAATCTTCTACCCAGGTATATTACACGAATTTTTTTATTATTTAGATTTTAAAGTTAATTTTAAGGACTATGAAAAAGACGTTTATATTTAGATAAGCCGGCTTTAATAACACCTGGACCTGGAAAGCAATACTGCTCAGCTTCCCCTGTCATACTAGGATATGAAACCCTGGAAAACTTTTCAGCGATAGCCACTCATTCTTTAGTTATCATCATGTTAGGTGGAATATTGCGGCGGTGGAAACAAGTAATTTCGTACCACTTTACAGGAAATTCCTTAGTGGACAGTCATTGGGAAATCACATTAAAGAATTAATAATGATTTCAGCCACAAAAACGAATCTAAATATTGTAAATATTGCGACAGATCTGAGTGCAGCAAATCAGGCGATATGGAAATATTTTGGTATTAAATCTAGAAAAATTGTTCTTCAAAATTTCATTTCTAATTCAGCTGATGAACCGAAAAATATATATTTTCATGGTAGATCCTTCTCACATTTACAAAAATATGAGATCTGTATTGTAAATAACAAAGTTATGATAATTTCGGACGAGTTTGTTAATAAATATGCATTACCAGGCAATGAGGTTAACATTAAATACATTGAGGACTTTACGGAATTTAAAGAAAATTTCGAATTAAAATTAAACAATCTGAATCATTTTAACAAAATGAAAGTTTCTTTGGCATGCAATTTAATAAATTTTGATGTACTTATTAAGTGCGGGGCTCGAATTTTTGTGTAAATTGTCTCAAAATTTTCAGTAAATGGTTCCGTATCATGTCGTCCCGATCTGACATCTCGGCTATTAGCAAATCTAATTTACGTGAATACAAAAACACTTTGAAATTTTTGCAAGAAATTATTGTTTAATTTAAAAATATCAATATTGGGAAGGGCGCTATTAGAAATCAGTACAAACAGGTTTAATTTTGTAAACAAAAACTATTTTAGATTTTCAGGAATAGGTACTTTTTAAACATTAGAGGTTATAAATTTTTGTGTACTTCAAGATTTTCACAAGATGTGTTAGAAAACATTTTTAGTCTAATAAGACTGAGACAAGGAAACCAAATACTCTTCAGTTTAGATCACTTCTTAAAAATGTAGGTGTAATTCAATGCTACAAAAGTACCTGCAGTAGGGGAAGTTATACAGCACCAAATGATCAAAAATTTATTAGGAATAAGAGATTTACCAGCTTCAAGTAATGCCGTTTTTTCCGCAGTCTCGACAGTTCCTTTTCCTAGAGGCTGGAACAGTTACAACCAAGCATTGTGACACAAAATGGTTTGTATAATGTTACTGGCTATACTATTTTGGCAAGGATTAAACGAAATTTAAAGTGTGTTAATTGTCTACAAGCAATTATTACCAAAACATTTTCAAGGCCTCTTAGAGGTTAGCGAAGAAAAATGTTGCTTCTCCGGTGGGAATTGAACCGCATGTTTACCGTTTGCCGGGCGGGTGCCCTTACCACTAGACTACGGAGGAGCTTATCTTTCCTCGCTTACTACTAGGTACGTATTATTGTGCCGCCACAGTCTTATACGAAATTCGTTTGTTTAAGAGCATTTAAAGTTAATTCATTAACATATCCAACAGAACTTGTTACTTGTATTTAATTTGTTTTTAACTATGGACAAAAAATATGAAAATTTAAAGTAGGTAATTCCTGAACAAAATGTTGATTTAAAATCTCTGTATTTACACGAAATGAAATTTGATCACCAATTGCAAGTTTATGATATTAAATTAAAAATTTTAAAACTATTTTCTTTGTTTCGGGTTCGAATACATCTTAAAAAAGAACAATGCAAAATAAGAAGATATACCTTGTTCTTTGATAGTTAGTTCGGTTTTTTAGTATGTAATTTTATAATATAAATGTAAATATAATTAAATCGATTTTATTTTTATCTAAATCTAATTTTACTTGCAATAAACAAAGGAGTCGTCTAGAATCAAAACCCGTTAAATCCACTTTTTGTAAATTTTGAGTTAATTTGTTCAAAATTTAAGCTTCATTGACTGAGACGTCCATACTTGGCCCATAAAGTATCAAACTCCTTGCAAAATAAATATGTATTTATTAATGATTTACATAAATATTTGTTTAATCAGTTTCAAATTACGACAAATCCCTACCCTTGACTCTTACACTGCGATAAATTTACAGGTTGGCATCAAAGCATGACAACTCCATTTTCACATTTATAATTTCACCATCTCAACAACGAACCATTTGGTGTTTGTTGTTGTTTTGACTTAAAATAATATAAATCATCTAATCAAAAATAAGAACTTTACGTTAAATGGACTTACAAACGTGTGACAGTTTCTTGCGTTTTTCTCAAAACATAGTCTGAGGAAGTTAACGGGTATGATTTTTGATGCCTCAACTTTGAGTAGACCAAATTTTGTACACTGACTTCTTGTAAAGTTTACGATTTCTCGTATTTTCTTGGGCCATTTTCAAGACATTCCCATATTTTTTAAGCAAGTTATTCTACAAAAAAGTGCCAATTAATTAATTTCAACTTTGTGAAGATATCCTCATAAATGTAAAACATAATTTTCATAGTGATTTACCACTACATATTTAGCAGAAACTTGAAAATTGATGTATAATTTTGTTCTTTGATAATATAATCTACTGGTTAATGCCTTAAAACATAGAAGTGGAGCATAATTTGACACTCTTCACAGTGTCAACCTATTTTAGTGACGAAATTATTCCCAATCATTTTCATTGTATGTACCGCCACTGAAAATTTGGTGACAGAGACAGAAAACTAAAATCTATATCTATACTCTTCTCAAGGCTAGCAAAGACATATGGCATATCATATCTGCGTTTCTTTCTAACTTGACATTGTTGTCAGTCGTGCCTACACTCTTAAAAACGACATATTCTGTCAAGGCACTCTACCAATAGTCGGTGGACATATAAAATTAGTACACGTAAAATTTTATCTGCTGCTTAATTGTCAATCAAAAATTTAATTTGACATCTTGACAGTTTCAACTTTTGCAACAGAAATCTAAAAATGCCTTTAATTGGGTTGCAGAAGCATGTAATTTAACAAAAACGAGGGAGTGCTGACGAACTGCATATCAACAAAGGTACAGTCTCATTAGCGAAGAGAAAAATTGAAAATTTTGGCTCCATAATACGGAAACCAGGCACAGAACGTCCAAAAATTACCACCGAAGATGAAAATATTAAAATCGTTCCATACCTGTTTTCCATACTCGCTTATTTTGCTTGGCGTAAAAAACAAATTTACACAGGATACATTTTGGGTTTATTCGTATTTTCTTTGGATAGCTTTGTACCAGTTTTGTATGTTCACCCACTGTACATACAAAATTTTAGAGTAAACGATTCAGTAGTTGTTTTGATAAACAGACAAACAAAAAGGAAACCAACAGATGGACACGCTACACTTACATGTTTGTATTATACGAACTGTGAAGATATTATACAGCGACAGGTGTGAGCAATCCTGGTAGCAAGGTTTTATGATTCCCTGTTATGGAATATTCTTCTCGTTCTATTAAAATTTTGAAATTAAAAAAAAAACGCATCTACACTTTTACTGTACCGTATTATAATGATGGCTAACATATTTACCAATTAAAAAAAATTAGGTACAGTATTTTGAACATATTTTTGCATTGTGTTTTCATGTTCACGATAAAATAACGAACTTTCATATGATTTCTAAATCTATAAACGATACCATTATCCATTGGTTTACCCTTTAGGAGTGACGCCATAGTGTACTATCTCGCTTTACCTGAAAACAACTAACAGAAACAAAAAGAAAAGCCCGTGTGAAAATATTACATGTCAACGGCACAGTAACTTAATTTGTTTTAACAAAAGAAATATGCTGTCACCGTTAAAACCAGTTTTTAGACAAAACGAGGCTTTTTAATAAAAGCTGACACAGAAAAGGCTGCCGAGACGATACAATGACGTTGCTGATTCAATAGATTTTGTGGTCATTGTGATCCAGGAAAATCCTGCTTTAGTTTTTGAGAATCATAAAGAAAAAATACTATCACGACAGTACGAATCAGTATCTCTTGTTATCATGGACAATGCAGATATATATATATAACAGCAAGCAACTACTAATTTCTTCGATTTAGACCAGAAATATTAAGTTTCTAGAAAAATAAAAAAAACACGAAATTTGGACTAATGTATCTACTCGAAAATCAACTAAAGTATATGTCCTTGGAATTTTTTCATTACGGGCACTTTATTAGTTTATTTATTGTATGCTTAAGAACAAAAAAGACCTTAGTTGCAATGCTGGAAAATGTCTGACATTCGTTCAACTATTCTAAAGCAATATGGAATATGTTGTTAAAATTAGTGCAATCATTGTGTATTAAAAAATTAATATTGTAAATTAAATTATACAAAAATAAAGCAAATGCTATAACAACAACACTGCACCTACAGAATCCCACTTGTGCCCTCAAAACTTGTTTAAAATTAATTTAAATAAAAGCAAAAGTTTCTAAATAAGTGCTATAGTGCAACTCATTATCAAACTCAAACCAGCGCCAGCGGTATAAATTTAAAATTTATCTAACTGCCAAAACCAAAATCTGTCTAACTTTTTGACTTACCTCGAACATACCACCACATCTCCCTCACGACACTTCCCCCTATATAAACAATACTCCAATCTCCCCGCTGCCCCCCAGCCCAATTCAAAATTTTCATCTCTTTCCGTTACCCGTCTGCTCTTTGCCATTTCGAAATCACCCCACGTGACGCAACATTAGGGCATAGTAGGGAGGCAAAGCAAGAATGGTCCAGATATTGATCCGCACTCTCCTTCGCGAGTAGGACCGAGTGCAAGTGCCTAAAGAACGCGGGGTTAGAGTTAGACATACATTCGTGAGCTCCCAACGTGGTCAACGCGATGGAGGGTGAGAAGAAAAGTGACGATGAAATCGGCCTCAAGCCCAAAATGACCCTGTTGAACGGCATCACGGTGATCGTGGGCAGCATCATCGGCTCAGGGATTTTCGTCTCACCTGCAGGAGTGCTCATGTACACGGGAAGTGTTAACGTCTCTTTGCTGGTGTGGACGATTTCGGGAGTTTTTTCGATGGTGAGTAGCCGTGGGGAAGAGTTTGGAATTTTGATATTGAAGGCTGATTTGAATGAGGAAGTGGGTTTTTTGGGGATGATGCAATCGCGGGAAAGGGAGGATTTTTATTCGAGCAAGGTTAGGAGAAACCGCAGATTTTTCTTAGCAAGGACAAGACTGCGATGTGGATTGCGGCTAATTTTTTAATGGGATAATCGTTTCGTTGTTTTCTTTGTTTTTCGTGCTTTGCGGAAAGTGACTGCATGGTGAAGGGTTGCGACAAGTGCGGTATGTAGGGCACGTGCTTTTGTGGATAATGTCTTTTTTTAAGTTATTAACACAGGAAGTCCATTAAATGCGTCGTTGGGTGTTAGTGATTTATGACGTAAATTAAGGATAATATATTTTTCAATATAATGGACGAAATTACTTTTAGATGAGCATAATAGTGGAGCGGTTTTATTACATTCCAAAGAAATGAACAAAAATGCGCATATTTATTTTGTGACAAATTTTCATTGAATGTATGTATTGTTCAAGTGATAATGGTCGACCCACATTTAAATAGGGTTTTGTTATGACATTAAGATTTGCTTAATAAAAGACATAATAAACAGATTCGTGTTTAGTTATACTTTCAAGACAATTTGTTTATAAATTATATGGACATTTGAGCTTCAAATGATAATTCTAAAAACTATTATGTATTTAATCTAGTATGATATACATACAAACTTATTAGTTATAGGAGAGGTTGAACAGTATTGTAATTTCAAATACATCTCATAAAATTATTGTTGAGTTAGTAGGAAACAGAATGGGGATAGATAGAGTTTACTACGTTCAAACGTGAGCTTATTCAACACTTTCTTTTGTACTTCACTGTACACTGTGTAATACTACATATAAAGGAACTTTTCAGTAGTTACCAACCTTCAGCAGGAATCTTTTACCATTAAACTTAATACCTTTATTATTGAGTGTAACGATTTTTGTTAGAGAGAACTTCCCTCGTCCTTAAATGGACCAAAAATTATAAAATTTGATTTTCGAATTTTCGATTTGTGATAACCTCTATAAACTAAAAATCCCCTGGTGGATGCATCTCCTGCTCCACGAAGACGTAAATTTTAAGACGCATTCATAAACCGCAAATGTTATTTTATAAATTTGAATAACATTTACTACGCAACGTTTTGAGGTCATGTCATGACATTGTTGGTAAGGATGATTAGATAAATTTTGGTAAGCATTTTATCGTCTATACGGTATTCCTAAAATACATATAAATTTTCACAATAATCGGTCCATTGGTCTCAGAAATTATCTGTCTAATAAAAGTCGATACAGATAGATAGAGAGACAGACAGATGGAAACGGGACACCTATTTTTTCATACTTAAAGGGTTGTGAAACGTTATGAGAATATGAAAGTAGCCATTCGCCGAAATATTATAATACGTCCGCAGCTTACGGTCGGGAAGTAAAAATTTCCAAATTTTATCAGTTCTTCTTTTCAATAATTTCTATATCTTTATGGACTATATCCAGAATGACTTACACCTTTAACGATTATGATTTATATGATATGGTATTTATTATATTTTGAAGTTGAACAGAAATTACTAAGAGGACAATCACGTTACCAAAAAAATTGCCGAAGTCATTATTTTAATTCGTTGACTAAACTCTAAACTTCCTTCTAACGCTACAAAAATGGTCTATTTTGGATGCTTCCAGTCACTCTTAAATTATGCCATTATTTCATAGTCAAAAAACTATTCACTCTTCAGAAATAAGTAATACCTACGTGTAATATTGGGAGTAGGAAATAGGGAACATTGTCAGCTCTTCTTTCAATATTTAAATATCATGCCACTGCCATCACTTTATATCTATAACTGTTTTATAATTGTAAAGACGAAATTACTACTAACTTGGATTACCATACATACTATCTTGACAAGCAAATTGGCTCCGTCAGTCCAAATATCTAAGAACTAAAAATTTAAAAAAATCTCTGAACCTAAAACTCTACAATGTATTACCTGAGCAGTAGAAAAAATGATTTCCTCGAAATTTGAGATTAACATTAAAAAAATTATTCTAAATTATTGTTTTTATTTTACCGAAGGAGTATGTGTTGTATTATAAACAAATGCTTTATAAATTATGTGTGCAATTGTAAAATCGGTTATACTGTATATACTTACATTGTGTTGTTTATGTACTGTGGCAAATAAATGTTATTAAATGTTATTATTAGCTACTTTAAGATTATAGGATGAATTCTGCTTTTACCTTAAAAAAAACTTTTGATTTAGCCGTGCTCGATTATTGACAATTTGAACTCTCATTAATTTTTTAGCTTTAGCACAATTTTTTTCTGAACTGAAAAGTACGAACAAAATAAATGTCCTGGCAGAACTTATTCATTACGAAGTAGATATCATTGATTTTAATTTAAAAAATAGGAGTAAGAAAAAAGAAAAAGAGTGTCACAGTTCTCAAAATTTATTGATACACACTGTATTAAGGAGAAATGGCCTATTTCTTGTTTTTGAAAAGTATAGTCCTTTATGACAAAATCGAATTACAGCACTCAAAAAAGAAAATCATTAAAAACATACTAGCCAAAATAACGATGTATTTTTCTTTATTTAAGTCTAATATGAGGAAAATGAAATAATAAGCTTTTTTTATCAAAAAAATCGGGACTACAGACAGACGCAAACGGGAGACCTATTATTTCTTCGTACTCTAGGGGTTATGAAAAGTCGAGAAAACGTAAAAGTAGAGAGTCGGCCGACGGACTCAGTTACAATACTTCCTTCGCTTACGCTCGGGAAGTAAAAATAATAAACTGTACACCATTGGGTATTGTACTTATGTTATTAATTAATGAATGGCGTGTATTGCTTACAACTGCAGGAAATTCTATATTTTCCGATCATTTCTTCCCGAGCGTAAGCTAAGGAAGCATGGTAGTCGAATCCATCGGACGAAGTGCCACATTTATGTTTTCTCGATGTTTTATGACCCCTACATACGAAAAAAGTAGTCTCCCGTTTCCATCTGTCTGTCTGTCAGCCTATTTGTCTGTCTGTCTGTCTGGTGTCTGCATTCATTTTTATTAGACATGTAGGTAATTCCCGAAATTGCTGGACCGATTGTTGTCAAATTTTGTATGTACGAGTATATTATAAATATTATGTAGATGGTTAAGTGCTACCCAAAATTTGGATAATCATCCCCACCAACAATTTGATGACGTCATTTCATTGGTTAGTTCGATGCCGAACTTCGCCGTTTACTTTTTTTTCTTGCGTTGGTAATACGCTGGGACTACTTTTCTTTTGTACTGTGACTAGTATTATCCATGTTGATGACTTCTTATTATTATTATTTTTCTTATAACGGGTCACCCCATTTCATCTAAAATGTGAAAAACTCCTCTTTATAATAATAATAAAATAAGAATTAGAATATTCAGATCATTTTGTTCGACTGTGGTTTAATTCAAATCAAACTAATTTCTACGTGACATTCTTTCGATGTATTAAGGTAAATAAACACTCGATAGTGCTGGATATGTTTCACCCTACTTTAGGAGCTAGGGAAGTTATGTCGAAAGAACTTTGGACCAATTTTTTATATAACAAAATAAACCTCGAATTAGAGAAACTACAAAAAAATTGAAAATTATGTTAAGTTAGATGAGTTGTCAAATTTTCTTGTATAATTTTCATGATAATAAATAAGGAAATAAGCTTCGTTTGAAGAACTTTGATACTCGATGTATTTAGTATTTAGTATTCACAACTTGGGAACACTGTTTCAATTATTTTGTTGTTTAAAGAAAGATTCATATGGCAAATTTTCAGAAGTGCTGTAACAAAAGATACATATTATGACATCTTTTTTCATGAATAATCCAGTTTTTGGTTAATACATACGTACTCGCATATTAAAAGGAAACGCAAACAAAATTCACAAACACATACACAATCAAAGAGAAATATTAAATAAAGTCGTGTAATGCGAAAATAGTTATGCTAACGGGTCCTCAGCTAGCAAAACTCCGACTGACAGAATTTTGTTGTGCATTATTTATTAATCACTGAGTGTTCTTGGAAGCACGTCGCAAAGTTCTAAAAATTCCTTCTCGTTTTTTGTCGCCAAAGAGATCTACGAGGAACGGCGACAACATTTTGGAGAGTTTTTTCGTTGAATTACAAGCATCTGTGTTAAAAGAAAACGAAATCGAATTGATTTTGTCTCCTCAAAACAGAGGAAAAGACTAATTTAATTAATTAGGCTGCAATGAATCAAAACAGACCGAATATAGTTTTGGGTGAACTGTTACTAGAATTATTATTTTATTATTATTAAATGTAGGCGGTAGCGACATTACTGTCTTCTATATTTCCGAGACAATGAGGCGAATCGTTCGTGATTTGAGCAAAAGAAAGATCTGCCGCCTATCATTTTCAAACCCCGGTCTTTGGATCTGCAAGGCTAGTGTGCTATCAATGAGCCACACTAGTTGTTGTGCGCACTATGTATCTATAGAACAAGACAAATCAAGGTAGATTCATAAACCACAAGAATAGGGGCATATTATTTCATACAATTTAGATAATGTTAATTATGCACTAAGGTGAGTGGCCGTAAACAAATTGTTCGTTAATCGGTTGAGTAGTTGCCGAAATTGTGTGTTTAATAAAAATCGACACAGACGACAGACAGAAGGAAATGGAAGACCAGTTTTTTCGTACTCTAGAGGTCACGAAAAGTCGAGAAAACATGAAAATGGCCATTCGTTCGATGGACCCTATTACAGTACCATAAATAGATATGCTAATTAAATTTTTTTTCCAAAACTTAAGCATAGCTATCTTTTTTAGGAAAACCATGTATTGCTTACAAATTGACAACGATTAAATGACACAATAACATGTTTTTTTAAACTGTCAAAACCAATTTTCTGTTGATTTTATGGAGCATTAAATTGTCTGAATAAAAAGTTGTTTTGTTTACATACAAATTTTTACGAAAATTTTGTTGTGATGGATTGTTTCTTCTGACAAAAATTTCATCAAAAAAATGTACACGTTCGTGAATTTTTCAAGCGACTGAGAAAGCATTGAAATATAATTCAAGGAAACCAAAATATTGTTCATTTTCAGCAGACTCTACAAAAATTGTTCAAATTCGACAATTAGCTACATCTTGACTGTCATTCCATTATAAAGAAATTGTCTTTTATTTGTATACATCCTATGGAATGAATCACCCTACACTGAAACCCATAGTCTTGAACCTCAAGGCCACAAATATTGTGAAACTAACGATTTTTTAACAGGAAAGTTTATTATTCTACGATTAAAAATGTTGCATCAAGTATGCAACTTGCGCAAACAACGCAACACTGTTTTTATTATATTTCCAAGAAAAGGTACATGCTGATAGCTTACATATTGTTTAAAGACGAATTTGAATTATCATACGAATCCTCTTTCACACACCTCACTACATAACCAATTAGGTCAAAATAGCAATCTCTCCACAACCCACCCTTTGTTTTAACCTGCCTCTCGCCGCCACCAAGCTACACCCTTGCCAGTTTTTAAATCAAAAACGTGATTGATGGTATCTCCTCCATTCTCACCCTGAATTAAACGTAGGTGTTCTCTTCCCACTCCATCCCCCTCAATAATAAGCCTGTCATCCGCACGCTTCCTTGACACGTTTATTTTTTTAAGGTCGGCGCTTACTGCTATGCGGAGCTCGGCACCATGATCAGGAAAAGCGGCGCTGATTACGCCTACATAATGGAAACCTTCGGTCCCTTTTTCGCATTCATAAGATTATGGATCGAATGCATGATAGTGAGGCCTTGTTCACAAGCAATAGTAGCTTTAACCTTCAGCGTGTACGTGATGAAACCGTTCTTTCCCGAGTGCCAACCACCTGAGGATGCGGCAAGGTTGCTGGCAGTCTGCTGCATCTGTAAGTAGATTTACGTAGTTTAGTCCGATTACAACACTTCTCTATCGGTTTATTGTTGCTGCAGAAGGTTTTTAAATTTCCTCATTCAATTACTTCAGCAGGATCATAAACGAATCTAAAAAAAAAATAGATGACTGAAATTTGAGCTTTGAAGAACATTCTGTTTAGCAATAGATATTTATATATTCGTCGATAAACAAGAAAATTAATAAACAGAGTTTCACTAAATCCGTCCGCTTATTTGAGTGCAATTACTGGAAGAAAGCTCTGAGAGTTAAGCTCGTGTGCTTTTGCTTGATTTCCCCTGAGACCAACTTGGTTTATATGGATTTATTTTCTTTTTAGGTGTTTTGACATTTGTTAATTGTTACGATGTCAAATGGGCGACGAGAGTCCAAGATGTGTTCACTTATGCCAAACTGGTGGCATTGTTCATCATCATCGCAGCGGGAGGATATCAGCTACTTAATGGTAGATATTGTTATAAGTAGATAGGAGCATGCCTTGGTTCTTCTGCTGAAACTACTTTCGACGTTCTTCAACGGTTGTATAGATATGGATGTAGGAAAATGTATAGATTTAAGCGTATGGGCAGTAGTGGATAAAAAATATGACAAAAGGAATATATTTTGGTAATGTAGACTTATATAAGTTAATTTAGTTTAATGGTCTGAGCGATTTTAAGAATTCTTGAAAGAAGTAATTTTCTTACAGGTCGAGTAATTATTTTAATTTTTAAACTATTTAAACGTGGGCAACCAACAATTTAAACTAGTTACTTAACCTGTAGTTATAATCAGAATGTTATTCAGTGACACTTTTTAACTTGCATCAACTTTTATTACTCGTGTCTATTTCGATTCTCCAATAACACCCTAAAGGTATTAATTTTACAATTTTTTGAAAAATTATTTGAACTGTTTCTTTAGTAAGCCTCTAAATACTTTTCTTTCGACGGATACTATTTTAAGTAAGTGCAAATAATTCCAAGTCGATTCAAACAGCGGTATGTCAGGTAAGCTTAACACAATAGAGCCAAGTTTTGTTTGTATATCCTTCAATAATTGTTTTTGTGTATGATTCACTCTCTGACCTTTTAGGGTAGTACATCCAAAGCACTTTTTTATTAAAAAAATATTACTTCGAAGCATGTAAGATCTCTGATAATTTTGTAACTACCACGCACTTATACCTCTTTTCTGAAAAAAGATTATCTTGAAAGGTGTGTACAAATTTCGAGCAGATATACTCTTAATTAAACAATTCCTTGTTCTGCAGTGCCAACCTAGGTGCTACTTCTTACCATCAACTGTGTAAATACATTAAAAAAAATCTTTTTTCCCAGCTACAAAAATGAAATCAAATATTAATATTATGTTATTATAATAGAATTATGCATATATGAAAATACACACAACACACATAGCAAATATGGCCAAAATCAAAATATTAATTCGAGAATAAATGTTCAATTTCAAGTTGGGAAGAAAATAATATAGTTAAGAAAATAAGACATTAATACAAGAAAATGGTGTTAATTTAAGAGAAGATCCTTTCGCTTAAAATGAATCAAAGTTTAGCAATAGTTTAAATATCATAAATGAACTATTATAAATCTCAAATGAGAGTTACAAAAAATAAATTGACCTGGATAAGTGAATTACCGCCACGTGTTTTACATGAACATTTACATTATTCTAGTTAAATTGTATTCGACCCATGAACGGTTAAAAATCTTAACATGAGCTGACAGTGATATGAACAAACGTGGAAAACAATAAAATCAAATTCTATGTGCTGCACATTTCTGTTCAGAAAATCATTAATAAACTGATATCGTACTAATTACACTCGTTGGGGAATGTTCTGGTGTCGAATGCGATTCTTTTTTATCTAAACAATTAATTGCCTTTTTTCTAAATTATAAGCTAAATTATGTACCCTTTTTTCAAAAACATCGTTTTACTAACAGTACAAAACACAAAATGACCCGTTTCAGCCCCTATACGCTACGAAGCCGAGAGTTATATTCCTTTACAAATGCATGGCGGAGTTTAGGGCTCCTGATTGTGGCTGTTCTCCCCCCACGACGGTGATTCGATTCTATCGGCAAGCACATGCCACCCAGCACCCCTCTATTATCAAGAAACGTTCTGTGGCTATTGGGCCAAGCCGCGAGCGTCACGTCATCCCGACCGCTCCCCTGACTTCTGTCCTAGGTCTGCATTCAGATGCCGCGACAGCCAGCTCGACAAGGAATCGCAAACCCACTTCCGCGACGAATTCTTGTGTTATTTATCTCCACTCCATTTTAAATGTTTACTTTCTATGACTCTGATATTAAACTACAACTGAGCAAGTGTTAAAGTTAAAAAAAGCAATAAACAACATTTAAATTCGCCATACACTATCATGAAATTTTAAACAGCAAATAATTCTTATCTAAGATTAAGATTGGACATCAGACAATTTATATGATGGAAACGTTAATCAACAAAATATTTACAAGAAAAAGAACTAGCAACGATTTATAGAAACAAAAAAAAGATCTGCTGCGAAGTAAAACTTGTACAGACAAAAACATTACGTGAGGTTAGTAATTATAGAGCATGAAAATTTACGTTCAATTTAAAATTATACAACAAAGAAAATTACTGAAGCTAAAATTGTGAGATAGAGAAAAATTGCAAAGCCAACAAAATTACATGAGATCAATATTTTATGTCCATTCGAGTTATTGGTTGATTTTTAAAAGTGAAGTTATTCAGCCGAATTGTGGGCGATCGTTTTATATTCCGCTAAACAAACACAAAAAAAACATAGCCGACAATCTGGAAGTTCAAAATGGCGTCAGAGGAGTGCATTATTCAAAAAAATGCATCAAAAATATGTCTCCCAGAAATGCGATTAATCCTGTGGCTTTGTGCAAATAATTATTTAAATCAAAGGAATAAAATGCACCTTCCACATGACCCACAATGTTGTTAATTTGTTCAACGAGATTTTAGAGTTCAAAGTGCCAGAACAAAGAATTTACCTGATGTTAAAATATGCCACACTTTATCAACGATTCAAACAAAGAATTTACATTATTTTAAATGATGCCTTGATTCGAGTGATGGGTTATTTAAAACAATTAACAATACTTAAGTGTAAGAATCCAGAAACCTTATTTATAACTTAATAAACAAAGTATGAGTCCTGACTAAGTGATCTCATGAAATCTCCTAGCAAGTACCGTATCTGAACAAATCTAATATCTGCTAAATTGTGTTCGAACCAGTTAACGATTAAAATCCTAACATGAACTGTGAATTTACAAACAATAAAACAAATTTACACCACGCGTTAACGTCGGTCGAAGATTCGCATGTTTCCGTTTAGAAAGACCGCAAGAATTAGTTACGCGCGTTGGGGAAACTATGGCGTCGTCGTCGTTACGATTAATTTTCGTTAAACAAAGGCTTCCTCCCTTTTATTAACTACAAAACCAACTAAACTTAACAAAACTAACTCACCACGTGGTTCCACTGACAACAAACAAACCAAAAATGATGCATCTCGCCCCTCTAACCACCAAATCAACTTCTACCAATCCTTTCAACAGAAAATTTCCTAGAAGAGCTATCGACTATTCAAAATAACTAGACGTGCACATGGTTGCCTATGTTTAACGATTTTCTTGATTTAATTTTTTTCAAATTCAAATTATTCAAATGCGATTTCGCGCCGGTGTTAAATGTTTTTCAGCGCGAAAATTTAATTCATATTCGGTCACCAAAATATTTATACTTATTAAGCTTTATGGGCACAAACTAACTGTCTGGGCGAACAAGTTTTTATGAAAACTCTAGCATATATTTCACACCTCTTGGGTCCCTGGAGCCTAAATTGAGGGCAATTTCGGGCAATTTCTTCTTAATAAGTGAAAAATAGACTTCACCTTTTTTCATGCCCTTAGAGATTGAATTTAGAAAAATCTTGTAATGAGATCCTACGAAAGAGCAAACTAGTCCTACGATTTTAGGTTTATAGGATCAAGTGTCTGGCCAGGGACTCAAGACTTTTCTCATGTAAATATGTAAACGGAGAACCGAAGCAACTATTTGTCTATTAAGAAAACAAAAATCTTTTCTCTAGTAGATGAAGATTTTAGCGTGGAAAATTGATAGTAGATTTATATACACAATACTGTTTGGTACTTACATATCTCTTTTAAACAAATTAGTAAAAGTATAAAATAAAAAATGTTTAAACATTTTTCGCAGAATCAATAATGCCTGTATTAGAATCAAAGTAGTGAAGCTGTCTAAAAAATTTAGCAGGTATCAAACTCTTCTTAAACTTCTAATCTAGTGTCAGCATAGTGAGTGACATAATTATTGTACGATGGGCTAACATCATCTGTATACGTGTCATCACAACGCATAGATTAACAAATATCAAATTGTTTGTAACGCCTAAATAGTGTAGGTGTTTTATTGTCTAAATAAAGTCAGAAATAGAACAGGGAGATTCCGCAGATCTTAGACCACTGCGAACGTTTGTTTTAAAAATAGATAACTGCTTAGTATTACACATATGTATGTAGATAAAAATTTAAATAAATGGAAAATAAAAAAAAAAATGTAATTTTTAAATAAATTATAAATAAATATTAAATTTTTCATAAGCTGTCATCATGAAAATAGTTCAGTTATGTTCCACGATTAAAATTAACAATGTTTTTTTTTTTTTCGAAGAGAAGTCGTAAGTGAATTCTTATTTTAATTGGAAAGACGATACGCTGCTATTATAAAGAGTTTAGGAATCGATTTTCAAAGAATTTTTACATGTGTAGGTAAATAATTGTAATATTCTTTGTTGCACAAAAAATATATCGACGAAGATTTCTGAATTATATGTAAGTATAAAAGTATTTTATGTCACCAAAAATGTGACTCAAGTAACAACCAGGTAGTGTTATTAAAAATAATATAAATAAGTTGTTGTCATCTGAATTAATATAGATGCATAACACATTTAATTAAATAATAATTTAAAATTAGTTTATAATTTTTGTTTAATATTTTACAGGTACAGGTATATTTAAATTAGATAGCCTGGTGCAATGTATTGAACCACTGAAAGTGTCGCTAATTTTTTATTCATGACTCTGATCGATATATAAGTTCTAGTCGAGACAGCCTTGGTCATGAAAGAATTATAATTTCTAAATTCAGGTAAATGTACAGTGTGTAAAAAAATACATGTCTATTTTAGTTTTAATAGAGTGCATCGGGGAGAAGTAATAATTGTTTTATAAAAATTTTGTCCACTACTGCTTATTCTTACTTTTAATTTTGACTTTCGAGAGAATTCCTTCGATACCTCTTACTAACTTCACTTTTGTAAAAGCTCTTCGCCTCGTTCCTACACTTATTAACACGCAATTCTTTTTAGAGCCGAACTCAGTCTATCGAGAATAAACGTTAAAAGTCACTTGGTCATGGCGTCTATTGATTTTCAAAAGCCTGCCCCAATTAGCCTTTGTTCGCACGTCAATTTCCTGTTGTCGTCCCCTTTTATAAAAGTGAAGTTGCAAATGACATCAAAGATGGCGAGTAGTTAAAAGGTGGAAGTATCAAAGGGTTGTCTGGATGAACATCTGCGAGATTTTGCACTTACTATTGCAGGGCACACGGAGCACTTTTCATTCATCAACACAAAGACCGAAGTTACGTCACTGGCATTATCATTCTATTCTGGCCTGTTCGCCTACAATGGCTGGTGAGAAGAAAACACCACAACAAGTAAATGAACAGGAAATTCGAACACGACAAATATAACTGTGTCTTCTTTGTAACGACTTTCCTGTTCCCGTTTTTGTGAATCTTTTACTAACTACTTTCAATTATGTCCATACCTTTTGGTTTAATATAACACGACTTTCGTTTTTTACAGGAATTACCTAAATTTTATAATTGAAGAGCTGAAGGATCCTGTCAGGTATGCCGCACTTCGTCGATCGTCACACATACGTAACGTTTAATATTGTGTTGCAGGAATCTTCCACTAGCCATCGGGATTTCCTGCTCGTTAGTAACGGTAGTTTATGTTCTAACGAATGTAGCTTTTTATACAACGTTGTCTCCTGCTGAACTTCTGGGATCTGAAGCTGTTGCAGTGTCGTTTGCTAATCGGCTTTTCGGGCCTCTGGCATGGACTATTCCGGTCTTTGTGGCTTTGTCAACTTTTGGCGCAGTCAATGGGATACTGTTGACTTCGTCGAGACTGTTTTATGCGGGAGCTTGTCAAGGACAGATGCCGGAAATTTTGACCATGATCCAATCGTCGAGAATGACGCCAACACCATCCGTCTTGGCCATGGTAAATAGTCATTGTTTACTTATTGTTTATTGACTGGTTATTATATGTGGATATACCGGTGTCCCACATAAAACTCCGCGACCTTGTATTTTAAGAACGGATAGAGATAGTGAAATTTTGTGAACATCATTGGTTTTACCTTAAAGGAGAAAGTTTAACTTAGTACATTGCAAATATGATGCATATGTTATGTGACGTCGGCGTGTCGTCATAAACTTCCATTTTTTTTTTAATATGCAATGTATTTATTTTTTAACACATTTTGACAGATCATTAAATTAAATGGTTATCGGTGTTATTAGTTTTAACTGTAAAAAATTGGTCTAAAGAGTTTAGACAGTACTTCCCTCGCTGTCGGAAACTTGACGACTGCATGCCTATTGTGTTTTTTTTTCTCATTACATTTTTGTAGTGGCAATTTAAAAAAAAATTGTGATGACGTCATCAACATTTTTGCAAGGACACGTATATCAGTTGGGATAGATGTAGTGTAATGCTAAGAATAAAATTATTGTATTCCCAAATTTTCGGGAAAATGAATTGGGTCGTTTTGAATATTGATTTCTTATAATCAATAAAATAACGAAACAATTTACTCACGTATACGGCGTCGGTGTGTAATATCTAGAGAGCGGATTTCTGTCGGGCTAGGCAAGGCCAAACTCGGTACGGCTCGTACGGGATGCGAATTCATTGCGGTTGCGGATTGCACTTCGTTTATTTGAGATTAGAATAACGCTGTTTCGTTGCACTCTGCTGTTAATTCCCGTTCTCATTTACTTAGCCGTTTGATTAATAAATCGTTAATTATATTTATGGAATTAGTACCGATTAAACGTGACGTAGCCCGAAATCGTTTATGTATAAACATTCTTAATTTAAGATGACAAGCGTAACAGCATACGTGAGAGTCAAACAGAGAAACTGTAAACAAAACGACCATCGGTTTTACTGCTTCGACTTCCGCATATTATATAAAACATTGGGTTTTATTTTAATTCTTGACGGTGAAATTCACAATTGGTTGATTATAAACATGTCTATTTCACATTCGCGGAACCAAGTGAGCACATAAAACAAATGCAGGTCTGTAATGTTAGTCGATGTAAATAAGCGTGCTACCCTTAGGTTTCAACCGAGTTTTTCCATTAACAAATTTTGTGTCTACCAAATTGGGTTGGTTGGGGTGTAATACTAATAATAAGTGTTGCCTTTAATTTAATCAATAAAATAAATTGACTTCATTAATTTTTTTGAACCACCTCTTAAGAAAATCTAAAAATATGAATGAAATGATAAATCACAAGTACCAACTCATCATATTTTTTGCATTTTAGATAGGATTTATTCAGCAAAATTTAAGGGTGACATCATCAATTTTTTTAGGAGGGATGAACAAATACATTTTGAACAAAAGTTTACCATGCTTATTATAACTTTAAAATATTCCCAAGATTTCAAAGCATTCGGTTTTGTAATTCCTGATTAAATCGATAAAATAAATTCACGCCTTCATTAATTTTTTTGAGTCACCCTGCATATGCAAATCCAAAAATATGAATGGAATGATAAATCACAAGTACAGACTCATCATATTTTGTACATTTTAGATACGATTTATTCGGCAAACTTTTGAGCTGACGTCATCAGTTTTTTGTAGAAGATAACCAAATATATTTTGACTAAAAATTTATTATGCTCTTTATAACCTTAAAACATCTGCAAGATTTCAAAGCATTCGGTTTTGTAGTTCCTGATTAAATCAATAAAATAAATTTACGCATTCATTAATTTTTTTGAGTCACCCTGTATATGCAAATCGAAAAAATTTGAATGGAATGATAAATCACAAGAAGAGACTCACCATATTTTGTACATTTTAGATAGGATTTATTCAGCAAAATTTTGTGGTGACGTCATAATTTTTTTAGGGGGGACGACCAAATACGTTTTGATCAAAAATTTACCATGCTTATGATAATTTTAAAATATCTTCAAGATTTCGAAGCATTCGGTTTTGTAGTTCCTGAGTAAATCAGTAAAATAAATTTACACTTTCATTTATTTTCTTGAATCACCCTGTATATGCAAATCCAAAAAATATGAATGGAGTGATAGATCACAAGTACAGACTGATCATATTTTGTACATTTTAGATATGATTTATTCGGCAAATTTTCGAGCTGACGTCATCAAGTTTTTGGAGGGGATAAGCAAATATATTTTGACTAAACATTTATTATGCTCTTTATAACCTTAAAACATGTGCAAGATGTCAGAGTATTCCGTTTTGTAGTTCCTGATTAAATCAATAAAATATATTTACGCATTCATTAATTTTTTTGAGTCACTCTGTATATGCAAATCCAAAAAATATGAATGGAGTGATAAATGACAAGTACAGGCTCATCATATTTTGTACATTTTAGATATGATTTATTCGGCAAACTTTCGAGCTGACGTCATCAAGTTTTTGGAGGGGATAAGCAAATATATTTTGACTAAACATTTATTATGCTCTTTATGACCTTAAAACATCTGCAAGATTTCAGAGCATTCGGTTTTGTAGTTCCTGATTAAATCAATAAAATATATTTACGCATTCATTAATTTTTTTGAGTCACCCTGTATATGCAAATCCAAAAAATATGAATGGAGTGATAGATCACAAGTACAGACTCATCATATTTTGTACATTTTAGATATGATTTATTCCACAAACTTTTGAGCTGACGTCATCAAGTTTTTGGAGGGGATAAGCAAATATTTTTTGACTAAAGATTTATGATGCTCTTTATAGCCTTAAAACATCTGCAACATTTCAAAGCATTCTGGTTAGTAGATTAAAAATTAAATTTCAAAATGTTGTTTTATAATTTTGATTTTTTTTCCAAAAATCTGGACGTTTCGGGTGAAAAGTCGATTCAGAGTTGTAAACTACATGTGTAGGACTATGTTATTTTATACAATTGAAAACCCATTTACTATGTACAATTTTGAAGTGACGTCATCGCATTAGTGGTGGGGATGATTAGACAAATTTTGGTTAGCGTTTTACCATCTACATGATATTCTTAATATAAGTACAAAATTTCACAACAATCGGTCGAGTATTTTCGGAGATTATCTGTCTAATAAAAATCCGGGACGGCAGACGGACAGACAGACGGACGGACAGACGGACGGACAGACGGACAGACGGACAGACAGACGGAAATGGGAGACCTATTTCTTCGTCTTCTAGGGGTCATGAAAGATCGAGAAAACGTAAAAGTAGAGAGTCGGGCGACGGACTCAATTACAATACTTTCTTCGCTTACGCTCGGGAAGTAAAAAGACAAATGGGACTCCCGAGAAAGTTCTTGAAAATTCTTGTAAAATATATCTGGCGTCCCCAAAAAGGTTTTACATTTTTAAAAAAGCCAGTTGGGACCCCTGAGAAGGTTTCACATTAAAAAAAGACATTCGGGGCCCCCGAGAAGGTTTTGCATTACGGAAAAACAGTTGAGTTACACATTTTTGAAACAATATATTTGGCGCCCCTGAGGTTTTACGTTTGTAAAAAAAGATAGTTAGGCCCCCTTAGAAGGCTTCACATTCTTAAAAAAAGACATTTATGGCCCTCGAGAGGGTTTTACATTCGTAAAAGAGACAGTTGGCGCCCACGAGAAGGGTTCATATTAAAAAACAGACATTTGGCGCCCCCGCGAAAGTTTTACATTTTTAAAACGGAGAGTTGGGACCCCTGAGGAGGTTTCACATTAAAAAAAGATATTTCGGGCCCCCGGGATCGTTTTGCATTAAAAAAAAACAATTGGGACCCTCGAGAAGGTTTAACATTAAAAAAAAAACATTTGGCGCCCCCGCGAAGGTTTCACATTTTTAAAAAAAGACAATTGGGACCCCCGAGAAAGTTTTACATTTTTAAAAAAGACAGTTGGGACCACCGAGAAGGTTTCACATTAAAGAAAACATTTGAGGCCCCCGACAAGGTTTTGCATTTTTAAACAAGGACAGTTGGGGCCCCCTAGAAGGTTTCACATTCCTTTAAAAAAAGATATTTGAGGGCCCCGAGAAGGCTTTGCATTCTTAAAAAGGACAGTTGGCGCCCCCGAGAAGGGTTCACATTAAAAAATAGATTTATAGCGCCCCCGAAAAGTTTTACATTTTTAAAACTGAGAATTATGACCCCTGAGAAGGTTTCACATTAAAAAAATCATTTGGGATCCCCGAGAAGGTTTTCATTAAAAAAAAAAAGACAATTGGGGCTCCCGAGAAAGTTCTTGAAAATTCTTGTAAAATATATTTGGCGTCCCCAAAAAGGTTTTACATTTTTAAAAAAGACAGTCTGGACCCCCGAGAAGTTTTCACATTAAAAAAGAAACATTAGACGCCCCCGAGAAGATTTTACATTTTTAAAAAAGCCGGTTGGGACCCCTGAGAATTTTTCACATTAAAAAAAGACATTCGGGGCCCCCGAGAAGGTTTTGCATTACGGAAAAAACAGTTGGTATCCCCGAGAAAGTTACACATTTTTGAAACAATATATTTGGCGCCCCTGAGGTTTTACGTTTTTAACAAAAGATAGTTAGGCCCCGTTAGAAGGCTTCACATTCTTAAAAAAAAGACATTTATGCCCCTCGAGAAGGTTTTACATTCGTAAAAGAGACGGTTGGCGCCCACGAGAAGGGTTCCCATTAAAAAAGAGACATTTGGCGCCCCCGAGAAGGTTTTACATTTTTAAAACTGAGAGTTGGGACCCCTGAGGAGGTTTCACATTAAAAAAGACATTTCGGACCCCCGGGAAGGTTTTGCATTAAAAAAAACAATTGGGACCCTCGAGAAGGTTTAACATTAAAAAAAAACATTTGGCGCCCCCGAGAAGGTTTCACATTTTCAAAAAAAGAAAATTGGGACCCCCGAGAATGTTTTACATTCTTGAAAAATATATTTGGCGTCCCTGAAAAGGTTTTACATTTTTATAAAAGACAGTTGGGACC